ATAATAATTTGAGTTATTATTACGAGTATTATAATGATTATAATTATTATTATAATTATAATCATTATAATTATTTTTATTATTATTTGGCTGCAAGTTTATACCGTGCTGTTTAAAGAATTGAGCAAGTGGAATATAACGCTGGTGCTGCTGCTGCTGCTGCTGCTGCTGCTGTGACAAGTGTAGCGGCATGCAGAAGAGCTTATTATTAATTTGTTTTATTATTATTTTTGTTTTCTTAAAGAAGTATATCCCCCGCTGCACGCGGCGAAGTAATGAAGAAGAATTGCAGAGACCCGCAGCAGCAAAATATTCATCGACCAACTCGTCGAGAGAGGCTCCCTGCATGCAAATAATAAATCAATAAATTAATTAATTAATTAATTACTAAATTAATAAATAAATAAATAAATTAATAATATTATATAATGTAATGTAATATAATATAATGCAATAAATAAATAAATTAATTAATTAATTAATAATATTATATTATATATTATAATGTAATATAATGCAAATAACAAATAAATTAATAATATAATATAATGTAATGTAATATAATATAATACAATAATATATAATATAATATAATATAATACAGTATAATAAGCAGAGGGTTAAATAATTTATTTAAATAAACAAATTAAGTAAATTAATTAAATAAATTAATTAAATTAATTAATTAAATAAATTAATTAAACAGATAATTGAGATAAAATAAAATCGTTGCACAAAATATCTGACTAACAAACAAAACAAATAAAATAAAACAAATAAAATAAATAAACAAATAAACAAATAAACAAGCGAAGCAAATAAAGCAAATAAATAAATAAATAAATATAATAAGCAAATAAACAACAAATAGAAGAAATAAATATATAAAACAAACAAACAAACAAACAAACAAACGAACAAACAAACAAACAAATGCAATAAAATATTTTGTCTTTCTCACCGTCTTTTTGTTTTTGTTTTTGTTTGCTGCTGCCGCTTCTTCTTCGATATAACTGTTTTTTGTGTTTTGTTTATTTCTTGCTGCTGCTCTTTGTGCAGAGTAAGAAGTCGGTAAACCCTTCATAAACCCGCTGCCGCTCCTGCTTCTGCTGCTGCTGCTGCTGCTGCTGCTGTTGCTGCGGCTGAGGCCGAGGGTGTGTGTGTCATCGTTGCCCATAGAACAATCACCATCACCTGCTGCTGCTGCTGCTGCTGCTCCTGCTGCTGCTGCTGCTGCTGCTTCTTCTTCTTTGCGTTGTTCTCTGGCTTGCTGGTGCTGCATTAGCTGCTGATGCAGCTGCGCAATCCTTTCCTCCTGCAGCAAAATCTGCTGCTGAAGTGCTTCTCTATCCAGCTGCTGCTGTTGCTGCTGCTGCTGCTCGAACTGCTGCTGCTCGAACTGCTGCTGCTCGAACTGCTGCTGCTGGTAGCCGGTCTGGGGGTAATCTGCGGCAGTATTATAACAACGCTCAAATATGCATAAAATATATATATATATATGTATATATATATATATATATTGATATGTATATATATATAAACATTATATATATATGCATATATATATATATACATGTATATATATAATACTGGGAAGGAAGCTGCATGCGCGTGTTGTTATAACACATCAAACTCTTTTATCTTGTCTGCTCTGCTGCCGCTGCTGACTGCAGCAACATCAGTAGCAGCAGCAGTAGCAGCAGCAGCACTGGCAGCAGCAGCAACAGCACTAGCAGCAGCAGCAGCAGCACTAGCAGCAGCAGCAGCAGCACTAGCAGCAGCAGCAGCAGCACTAGCAGCAGCAGGAGAGCTGACCGTAGTAAGGCTGCTGTTGAGGGTAATTCCAGGAGTCTTCTGTGGGGTATTGCATTTGCTGCTGCATGAGCATGTCTTGCTGCTGCTGCTGCTGCATAAACATCTCTTGCTGCTGTTGCTGCTGCTGCAAGAACATCTCCCGCTGCTGCTGCTGCTGCTGCCTGCTGATTGCTGCTGCTTCTGCTCTCCTTCTTCTTAGTTCAGCTGGCGAAGGGCCCGGCAGACAAAGCAGGTTGGTAGCGTCAATTTGCTGCAGCAGCTTTCTTTCTTCTTCCTCTTGCTGCTGCTTCGCCTGTTCTTGCTGCTGCTGCCGCTCCCTCTCCTCCGCTGCAGCAGCTGCTGCTGCAGCTGCTGCTGCTGCTGCCGCTGCTGCTGCTGCAGCTGCTGCTGCTCCAGAACGCCTCTCGGCTTCTTCGCGACGCTTTCTATTCGCCTCCTCCAGCAACTGAACAATTAAAAGCAGCAGCAGCAGCAGCAGCAGCAGCAGCAGCAGCAGCAGCAAATTTTCCCTGTTGGTTTGCACTGCCTTTCGTTTGTCTCTCTCTATCTACCCGTTAAATTGTTTGCATATCTTTGCTTTTCTTATAACTCAGTTCTGGGGTTTTTGTGCTTTGCTGCTGCTGCTGCTGCTGTTGCTGCTGCTGTTGCTGATGTTGCTGCTGCTGCTTTTTATGCTTTCTGGCTGTCAATCGCGTCTTTTGTCTGTCTGTTGCCGCTGCCTTTGCGGTGTCTCTGCAGCTTTTAGTTTCTTTTTGATGTATATTTATATTTATATTTATATTTATATTTATGTTTATATTTATATTTATATTTATATTTATATTTATATTTATATTTATATTTATATTTATATTTATATTTATATTTTCTTTCTTTTTACCTGCTTGCTGAGTGTTGCTGCTACGGGGTTGGCGACAGAGAAGCACTTCATCTGCTTCAAAGACCGAGACAACTCCTCAGCTGTTCGGTTGTATGCAGCAGCTGCAGCGCAGCAAACAAACAAACAGCAGCAGCAGCAACAGCAGCAGCAGCAACAAAAACAGCAGATGAAACAACAAAGAACTTCTTTGACCCACGTCAACCTCCTTGCCACTCTGCAGCGAGCAGCGAGCAGCAGCAGCAGCAACTGCTGCTGCTGCTGCTGCTGCTGCTGTTGCTGCTGGCTGCAGAATTGCTCTGAGAGTTTCCCTACCTTGTTCATTGGGCACGCTGATAACAGAGAGGGGTTTGTTGCTGTTGGGGGGCAGCAGGAAGGTGTTGTTGCTGCCGCCTACAGCAGCAGCAGCAGCATCAAATGCGTTATGTAGAATTCCTAAGCCCATAGAGACAGACTGAGGAGGCGGCCATGACTGCAGCGCTTCTTCATTGTCTCCTCTTGCTGCAGCTCGCAGTCGCGCTCCTCCCTCCTCTCTCTGCTGCTGCTGCTGCTGCTGCTGCTGCTCTATTGCATGATAGTTGACAGCTTGAGCTGGGTTTTGCTGCGGAGGAAGCCCCAGTCTGTTCGTTAGAGCAGCGAGGGCTGGCGCTCGCGGATTACGTGAAATGCATGCGGGGGCAGAAGGAGCAGCATAAAAGAAAGGAGATCCTGTTAAGGAAGAAGGAATGTATGCACTTCCAACAGCTGAAGCAACGCACGCAGGTGTACAGACACCTCAATAAACACCCACATACACCAGCAGCAGCGGCTGCAACAAGCGCAGCTGCAGCAGCAATAACAGCAATTGCTGCAGCGAGAATAGCAGCAACAGCAATTGCTCCAGTAATGCATGCAGCAGAAAACAGCTCACATACACAACTCAACAACACCCAGCACTCACGGGCAAAGAAGCAGCAGCAAAATAAGCAGCAGCAAAGTAAGCAGCAGCAATGCATGCAGCGGCAATTGCTGCAGTAATGCATGCGAAGATGTACTACTGCAGTTTTGTGTTTAGGCGCGAGTGCATGCATGAGGCAGACAAAAGGAAGGAACAGTAAGTGAAAGGAGAAAGAAACAAGAGGAGGGATGCATGCAAATGAAAATAAATATAATAATACACTCACCTGCTGCTGCGAGACACTGGGGGGGGCGAACATTTGTAGGGATAAGGCGGCCTGTAGGCTGAGGAGCGACAAGAGAAGATGAATGTTTAATGAGGACAGGAAGCGCTGAAGGGTCTTCAGGTACTTCGGAGTTGTTTAAAGGATACTTGATGTTAGATACTACCACTCCTCGCTGCTGCTGCTGCTGCAGCAAATGCGGCTGATGCTGCTCCTGCAGCGAAACCGGATGATGCTGCATCGTTGGGGAGGCACGAAAACAGGCAGCAGGGTTGATGTGCTGCAGCACGGAGAGGGACGGGAGCAGAAACAAATGTTCTGCAAAGAGCGCGGTGTATGTACAGGGATCAGCGGCTCTTTGTAGAAGTCCCTAGAAGACAATTGAGTTTCCTTCGCCTTTGTTTCTCAATTCAAAAACACAAGAAGGAATGCAGAAGAAGCTGAGAAAGAAACACCGAGTGAACGCGACGGGGGTGGTGCTGCGAGCGGAGCTTAAGGGGTTTTCTTCTTGCCCTTAAAGCAGTTGAAGGAGTTTGTTTGAGTTTATAAACTTATATATTTAAGCATTAAAAAGGCTTGAAGGCAGCAGTTGCAGCAGAGAGAGAGCAGCAGTTCCTGCTCGCTGGTGTTGGCCGCCGACGGCGTCGATATCTGCGGTTTCGCAACAAGATGAGAAGAGTTCTATTGGAATCTGCAGATTAAAGAAAGAGAAATGATAATTGAAATCAAGTAAAGATAATTTAATTGTAATTCAATCATAAATACACCCCAATCAGAACACTCTCAGACATGAATCGGTACCGACAGCGCTGCGCTGCCGCTCGTCGTCGAGGCCGCCTAGCTGCAGCATCTTCTGGGGTATTTTTTCAGGGAAAGCTGTGAAATTAATTGCTAAAATGATGTAAAATTGTTTTAAAAATCATAATATTATTGAAAATTTCCCCCTTAGACGCTCTCTTTTGCGGGAAACCCCCAAACAGTACGCACTGCTCTCGGCTCCGTCTAACCCCAGCGACCGCCGGTTCGCCCACGCACTGGCTGTCTATTTTTTTCCTATTTTTCTCTATAAAACAACTAAAGTAAGATTTATTTATAAACAGAAAAACAAACTGAATCTTTTGCAGGTCTGCACAGCTGAGGAAAGAGTAAAAAAGTTCCTCTGCATTTCGTTGCCTTCGCCGGTCCATAGACGCACCGATGATGTGGTAAGAGATTCTTTTTCTAAGACTTCAACTATGTAAAAAGGCGAAAAATAATAAGAAAATGAAAATAAAAAGATTATATAAACTCATTTCTTCGCTCATTCCCCTAAACATCCATCAGCAGCAACAGAAACACACTCTTTTCGATACTAGTTATGTCTGCCTCCTTGTTTATTGTATACACACAATATATATACCCATATACAGACAGATACATATACACATATACAAATATATATACACATATATGTAGATATATATATATTAACCTCTGTTTCTTCTTGTATTGCCTCTTCTTTGATTGATGATTATAATAGATTACTTCTGCTGCAGCATTTGCCTTCATTTTTAGCAGAAAAAAAACAGAAAAATGCAGACGAAGAATTAAACAAACACCGAAAAAATATAAAATGTCTTTTCTTCTTTTTCATTCTTTCTTCTTCTTTTAAGTTGATATGAGCACAAGCGCTGCACACAGCAAAACATTAATCTCTATAGAATATCTTTTTATTAAAAAGCCGTTACTATCAAAACATTAATGAAAAGAAGGTTCATTATAAACAACGCAAGAAGAAAAAGGTAAGGAGAAATTAAATTCAGGTGTACGCACAGCTAACTCCCTCCTCTTTGTTTTGAATTCATTAAAAGAAATTCTTATTTATGTTTTTTCTCTCTTAGGGCCCCACACCGTCAACCTACTCCTGCTGCTCAGTCTGCCTTCAGCAGCAGCAGCAGCAGCTGCAGCAGCAGCAGCAGCAGTAGTAGTAGAGATAAGCAGCCAGCAGTGTCTGAGTGTTGGTTTTTGCTGCTGTGTAATGGCGGGGCTGCAGCAGCAAAAAGATAATTGTAAAAACTAAGGCCTTCTACTGCTGTTGCTGCTGCTGCTGTTGCTGCTGCTACAACAGACAGCCAGCTACAGCAGCACCAGCTAGAGGAGGAGGGCGCAGCAGGAGCAGCAGCAGCAACAGCAGCAGCAGAGAGCATGCAATTTGATAATAGAGTAAATTAATTTGTATTTAAATATACTTTTATGCAGAAGAAACCGCTAAAAAGAATAAAGAAGAAGCAAAAGAAGAGAGAGCAGAGCTGCAGTGATGTAGATGTGCAAACCCAGCAGCAGCAGCAGCAGCAGCAGCAGCAGCAGCAGCAGCAAGCCACCTAACAAGAAGGGTTTGTGGAGGGCAGCGAGGCAGCTTGTGCGTGTTCGTTTGTCCTACTTTTTTTGCGTTTGTTTGTTTTTATTTTTCTTTTTTCTTTTAAATGAGAAGAGATTAAAATAAAAAGACAAAATATAGTTGCTGCTGCACTAAGCTCTTAAGGTTATGATATCTTAAGGCAGCTAAACCCTCTGACAACAACAGCCTTGCGCTGCTGCTGCTGCTGCTGCTGCTGCTGCTGCTGCTGCTGCTGCAGGCTAGCGGTGGACCGTGTCTCCTGTCTGGGCCCCTTTGCTTCTCATTGTTGTTTGCTAGTTTTAAAATAACTGTATTTCTTTATTTCTGTCTTTGGTTGGTTCTCTTATCCCTCTAAATAAACGCAAACACATACCGCCCCACGGCTGCTGCAGGCTGCTGCTGCTGCTGCTGCTGCCGCTGCTGCTGCTGCGTCGAATTTCTTCTCAGCGCTTCTTGCTGCGCCTGCGGCATCTTTGGATTTTCTTCTCTTTCTTTCTGCTGCTTCTTCTCCTCATTTGCGGTCTTCATCTTCCTGCTGCTGCTGCTGCTGCTGCTAGCAGCAGCTGCCCAGGGTGCTGCAGCAGCAACGCCGCCGCAGTCGCTTGCTGTTCTGTGTGGCTTGCAGCAGCTGCGCTGCCTTTCTTCTCGTCTTCCTTTTTAACTATTTAAACGCAATTCTCGACTTTTAAAGGGCAGCAGCAGCAGCAGCAGCAGTAGCAGCAGCAGCAGCAGCAGCAGCGGCAGCGGCGGGAGCGCTGGGCCTTGCGTGTTGACGGTCTTCATCGCAGCAGCAGCAGCAGCAGCACAGCAGCAGCAGCAGCAGCAACGTCACGTTGCTGCTTGCTTTGTGTGCGGCTTTGCCTGCAGGACGGGCGCAGCCAGGGGCCCCTGAGGCCCTCGTGCGCTTCCCCCCCATGACTGCGAGACGCAGCAGCAGCAGCAGCAGCAGCAGCAGCGACAGCAGCAGCAGCAGCAGCAGCAGCAATAGCTGCCCATGCAAACCCCCAGCCTTTTTCTTTGCTTCGACGCCACGCAGCAGCACCGCCTGGGCACGGCGGGGGCGCAGCGGCAACCAGCACTGCCCGCAGCAGCAGCCGCAACAGCAACAGCAGCAACAGCAGCAGCAACAGCAGCAACAGCAGCAGCAGCAGCTGCTGCAGCAGGGATTGAGTCGCCGCGTCTCTGCTCGAGGCGGGAAGGGGGCAAGGCCGCAGCTGCAGCGTGGGGGCCCCTGCTGTATTTTGTTTAATTAGTTCGTTTATTTGTTTGTATTATATATAATATATAATATATATTATATATATTTTATTATATATTATATATATATTATCTGCTGTATATGCTTGCTGCTCTCTTGAGCCCTTCTTCTGTTTATGCTCACTACTAGCTGCTTCTAGAGACCCCGCAGCAGCTCTCAGCTGTACATTCAGCTGCGCTGCTGCTGCTAAGACTGCGTACACCCTATTTTCCTCTCAGCAGCAGCAGCAGCAGCAGCAGCAGCTTGTCAATGAAGGCTTCTCAAGGTCTTTCTATGGGTATGCCCTCTTGTGGGGCCCCGACCTCAGCGTTTGCTGCTGCAGCGTCAGAAGCACCTCAGCAGCTTGAGGGAGCCGCTCCTGCTGCTGCAGCAGGAGCCCCTTGCGCTGCTGCTACTGCTGCAGCAGCTGCTGTTCAGGGCGCCGTTGTTGGAGGCAGCTGCATGCAAGCTGTCTCCTCTGTCCCTCCTGTCTCTTTCTCTCCTTGTGGGGGCCCCCCTCCTGCTTATGCAGCAGACAGCGCAGCAGGAGCAGCAGCAGGAGCAGCAGCAGCAGCAATAGACCCGCTGCAGCCACCCTACTCCTCTTTGTCTTCAGAAGGGACCTCCCAGGACTCATTTGCTGCTGCTGCTGCTGCTGACGGCGCGCTGCACTTCGCTGTGGGGGGCCCCTTCATGCAGGAAGAGCAAGGGGGGATAGCAGCAGCAGCAGCAGCTGCAGCTGCTGCTGATAATCCGCAGCAGGCCCTTGCGGCGCAGCTCGAAAAACCTGCACCGACAGATGAAGCAGCAGCAGCAGCAGCAGCTGCTGCTGCTGCTGCTGCTGGGTTAGGACCCCCTCTGGAGGCAGTGCCCAGCGCTGCGGCTCTTGTTGAGGCCCCCCAATCAGCAGCAGCAGCACCAGCAGCAGCACCAGCAGCAGCAGCAGTTTGCGACGGTGCCCCTGAGACCGGGGGCCCTCACATTGACGGCAGTGGTGTTAATGTTGCTGCAGCAGCAGCAGGGGGTGTTGTGGGTGTGCCTGGCGGCTGCCCGTTGGAGCCTTCTTTCGCTCCTTCTCTATGCGTAGCTCCTCCCCCTGCTGCTCCTGCTGCCGCTGCAGCAGCAGCAGCAGCAGCAGGTGAAGAACCGATGATGGAGCCGGTGGGAGTTGGCGATGGCCCCTCCTCTGGAGAATTGCCTGCTGCTGCTGCTGCAACAGCAGCAGCAGCAGATGCAGCAGCAGGAGGCGAGCTGGCAGGAGGTGCGAACAGCAGCAGCAGCAGCAGCAACAGCAGCAGCAGCAGCAGCAGCAGCAGCAACATCCCCCTGGATGTGGGTGTAGTAGTTGAGGGTGGTGCTTCCTTTGTTGATGCGCCTTTGAATGATATGAAGATTAGCGGAGGCCTTATAGATTCGACTGCTGCTGCTGCTGCTGCTGCTTCTCTTTGTTTGGGGGGTTCGTCTGCTGCAGCAGCAGCAGCACCCCCACCACCACCAGGACCATCAACAGCAGCAGGAGGCGGCCCTCCACCCGCTCCACCCCCAACAACAGCAGCAGCAACAGCAGCAGCAGCAGCAGCAGCAGCAGCAGAAGAGGAAGCAGCAGCTCGTTGCGGGTGTGAGAAGTATTTACAGTGGCTGGATGCTATTCATACAGCTTGTTATAAGCTCGACGAACTCTGCAGCAAATTAGATAAGAACTTCCCCAACGCAACGAAGGCCTGGGAAGAAACAAGTGCAGGCATTAAAGGAGCAAGGCTGTTGTTTCTTCAGCAAGCAGAGGTGCTGCAGCAGCAGCAGCACAACCACCAGCAGCATCCTGCTGCTCCTGCTGCTGTGCTGCAGCACCACCAGCAACACTTGCTCCAGCACCACCAACTTCATCCTGCGCCTGAGGAGCCCTATCATCATCACACGCAATCTACCTCAAGAAAGAGACAACGTAGAGAAGCAGCAGCAGCAGCAGCTGCTGCTGCTGCTGGTGGTGGATTAGAGGGTTCGATGTGCAGCAGCGGTTTGCTTGGGGGTTACGGTGCAGCAGGCAGCAGCAGCAGCAGCGGTTTGTCTATAGTCGGGAGTCCTACAGATTGTATGCTGAGTTCAGTCGGGGGTATAGGTGGATATTCGGGTGTATATGGAGGTGGCTGCAGCACAATTAGCAGCAGCAGCAGCAGCAGCACGAGTACACCTAGCCACAGCAGCAGCAGCAGCAGTACTAATAACAATAACCCAGCGACGAGCAGCACGAGCAGCAAAGGATTAGGTAGTTGTTACGTAGGAGGAATGAGCAACAACAGCAGCAACAGCAACACAACGAACAACAACAGCACCAGCACAAACAGCAGTAGTAGCAGCAGCAGCAGCAGCAGCAGCGGTGTTGTTGGAGGTGAAGGAGGTGAATACGATTATTTGCTAGACTGTCCTGAACAAGAAGCGCCGAACCCCTTGAACCCTTTAGATTTGAAGTGCGATGTTGCTGGGGTGTACTGGGACAAGAGAAGCTGGATAGCCTCGTGGTACGAAGGCGGTAAAAGATACTATAAATCTTTTTCAGCTAAAACGCACGGCTTCTACAGATCGAAGTACTGGGCGATCAAAGTGCGACTGTCTAAAGTGCAAATGCACAATGCAGGAAATAAACAAAATAAAAATCAGCATAAACACAACCAACAAATCAATCATACGCTCTAATCTATATATATATTATATATTATATATATATAATATATATATAATATATATAATATATATATTTATATGTATATGCTGAGGTGTATGTTATTGTATGTGCGTATATATGGATATATATATGGATATGTATATATATGTATATATATATATGTATATATATGTATATATATATATATGTATATATATATATATATATATATATATAGACATATATTCATATATAGATGCAATCGCAAGCACCCGAGGAGTAGGAGAGAGAAAGAGAGAGAGAGTGCGCATTAGAAGAGAATTCGCTGAAAATGAGCGAAGTCTCTGAGGGGTTAAATTAAACAAAGTAAAGCAGAAGAATTATATTAAAACAAACAAACAAACAAACAAACAAACAATAACAAGAACAACAAGGAGAAAGTTGCCGAAGCAAAGACAGTTGCACCGAAGTAAACAGAGGGAAGCAAAGCGGATGGTAGTTGAAGAACGAAGATAAACAAATAAAATAAAAACAAATAAAAGTTAAAATGTTTAAAATATAATTAAAAAGATAATAGATAAGTCAGGGAGGCAAACAAACAAACAAAAACAAAGAGGGATGAGAACGCACAGAGCAGAGGAAATGAACAAAAACAAAAATAATAAACAAATATATTCAAACAAATAAACAAAATATATCAAAATAAACAAACAGCAAAAACAAAACAAACACAATTTACTCGCCTTTGCAAGCCGTTCCCCTTCGTCTCCTCGGGGCATACACACCTGCGCTCTGTAGCAGCAGCAGCAGCAGCAGCAGCAGCAGCAGCAGCCGCAGCAGCCGCAGCAGCA